AATGTGGAAAAGTTAAAGAAAATTTTGGATTATTTTTCTAGGACTTCGCGTTTATTTGTTAATCATGATAAAAGTACTATCATTTTTACTAAAGGTTGTTCTATTTTCGAGAAAATTGGTCATATTTTGGGTATTTCTACTTCTTAGACTATTATGAAATATTTAGGGTTGCATATTTCAAGTAAAAGGCTTTCTCAGGTTGATTTTTAGTTTTTGCTTAATAAGATTACAACTTTCTTTGTTGGTTGGAAAACAAAAATCTTATCTTTTGTTGTTAGAGTATAATTTATTAATTTTTATATTCCTAATATTATTGCTTATTGGATTAGGGGTCTTTCTATTCCAAAAAAGTTATTTTAAATTTATCAAGAAGGTCAATTCTAATTTTTTAATAGAGAAGCTACTGTTAGAAAAATTCATATGATTGCTCGGAAAGAGGTTTGTGAGCCAAAAAAGGTAGAGGGACTTGGTATTCCAGATCATGTTGCTCTCTCTTATGCTTACAATTGTTCTCTTATTTGGCGTATTCTTAATGGTAATGACCTTTTAGCTTCTTGGTTTAAAAGTAAATATATATCTTGTTGAAATCCTTCTTCTCAAAAAGATTATAAGTTTTGGAAATATATTTGTGTTACTGCTAAAGTTATTCAGGGCAATATTTAATTTAACATTACACATAATTGTGCTTTGTCTTTATATTGGGATCCATGGTTAAATGGGAAAGCTCTTCAAGATTTCAGTGTGGTTACTCCAGATAATTTGTTCAAAGTATCTATCGGAGAATGCATTAGTATTTCTGCTTGGAATATTCCTGATTATGTTCCCAGCAATATTAGTTTGAATATTTTGGCTCTTTCAATTAAGTATCAAGCTATTTCTAATATTTCCTGGGAGGGGCTGATGTATCCTTCTTTTAAGATGCTTTATAATTCTTTTTTATAATAACCATGCTAGAGTGGATTGGTTCTCTTGTATTTGACATAAGCGGTATGCTATGAGATTTTCATGCTATGCTTGGATGGGCACTTTAAATGGATTGAAAATGACTGATTTATTAATTAAAAGGAATGTACTTGTTCCTCTATCTTGAATCCTTTGTTATAAAGCTGATGAAAATCATAATCATTTATTTTTTTTAATGTAATTTTTCATTCAGTGTTATTTCTTATATTGTGCGAGGATTAAGTTATTTTATGCTTAGACCTAATCTTGTTCAAATCTTAGAATTTATTTGGGATTCATATAAGGTTTTAGATACTAAATATTTATTTCTTCTGTCTACAGTTTATTTCATCTAGAAAGAAAGGAATTGCAGGAAGTTTGATAGTAAATTTTATTGTTCCAGCTCTCTTTGTAAGAGTATTAAAGTTGTTATTTAGTCTAAAGTGTCTAATTGGGGTTCTTATTACAAAATAAAGCATTTGGTTCATTAATTTGGTTTCTAATTTTGGCTAGTTTGGTTTCGATTTTCTTACTTCGGTTTTGTCACGACCCGGCCCGGTTAGCTCGCAAGTGCGAGGCGGAAATGGAGATCGGACGGAAAAGAGACCAATCAACAAAACATTACATAGAATTTTCCATAAAGAATTTAGCAAAACTAAACACATCTCCAATACATGTATGAAAGAGCCACTATGAATCCAAGTAAAAAAAAATTCTTTTCTATTACTTTTACCTTCCAAAAGAGAGGTTTACACAAGAGTTCTTTCTATAACCTGAATCTCCAATCACCATATAACTCTTCAAAAATCTACACATACCTCTATCTATCAACAAAATAACAAAATAACAAAAGAACCTGCCACCCGTCGTCTCCCTACGACGGTAGGTGCGCGGTGGCTGATCAGTCATCTAACCCCCTCTTTTGGATCCTCCTGAAAAGTATTCCCACAACGAGGGTGAGTTTTAAGCTCAATAGGTGAGGATAAAAATTCATTTAAACATAGGAAGAAAAAGGGAAACTACAACATGCTGGCGTAGGGAAAATTTAACAAGAAAATTATCAATTCTAAAGTAAGTTATGCTCCAGTGACAACATATTTTTCTTTACATCAATTTCTTTCCAATGCTTAAACCTTTCATTACATTTCCTTTCTTCCTTTCCTTTCATTTTAAAACATTGAGGCTCATTTAATCTCAATCACATATGACAATGTATGAAAAACATTCATAATAATTTAGTACGTATATATATATACATATCACCCGTCTCAGGAGTATCACTTGTACTGATCAGGTACAATAAATTGGCCATTTCCTTTTCCATAGGTTCAAAAGAACCAATCCTTTTCCACAGCTCATAAGAGCCTTCCTTTTCCATAGCTCATAAGAGCCTTCCTTTTCCTTGTGATACTCCCGCATCAACATGCTCATGCATTTATTACTTAAATAATCTTAAAATGAAATGCTCCATGTACTTTTCCATAATGTATTCTTGCATGTAAGATAAGGAAATCATGTGAAACAAGTGTATAACATGAGTGTGTATACCAAACATGAGTTAAGCATTGCATAGGAGAAACATTTGAAATCACTTCATTTGTCCATAGACTTACAAGGGAAAAATTGAGCCATAAGAGTTCATAAATAACATAAACCAATTGAACATTTCTATGTAATAGAACAAAATACAAGTTACCTAATATTTAAAAGAAAGTTCATCCCACCTACCTCAATTTGTGTAGTCCCTTCCTTTGTCGATCTATTCTTTTCCTTTTCACGAATTATCTAAAAGAAATATACAAGGGGAAAACATAAATAACGAACATCTACACAATATCTCAACCCTAATTCCAAAGGAAATAATTTCCTATGTTTGTGTAAGTGTTATAACAAACCCTTCCCTCAAAATATGATCTCTCCCTCATGTCCACTTTGAGTTTAGGTTTTAGTTCAAAAGCCATATATGGTCTAACACGCTAATCCTCTCTTTAAACCCAAGACATAAAAATAAACATGTAAATTTCGGAATTAATTAAACCAAAAATTAGAAATCATGGTTTTTCAATTAGAAACTATAGGTTAGCTTCCAAAACCCTCCTTAAATCAATTAGAAGTCAAAAAGGATTCAAAAACTTCATCATTAGGGAGAAACCCTAAATTCCTAACTCAAAGTTTTTTTTGGCTTAAACAATAAGTGCCTTTACATAAAACCTTCCTCAAATTACTAAAAACAATATTTGTGAAAGCATTTACAAGGGAGATAAATTTTTTAGCAAACCTTAATTTCAAAAATTTTCATTATTCACAAAAACTCAACATAATATGGTTTAGAAACTCTCCCTAAACCTTCCCTAGACTTCTCTCAAAGAAAACCCAAAGAAAACCTAAAATATCTCAAAGCCCTAATTTCTTCTTTTCCAAAAATCATGAGAATGAGAGGGGAAATCAAAGTTCTAATGCATACCTTTGCTTTCCCTTAGTCTCCCCCACGATTTTTCCTAAATTTGGCCGCCGGAAACCGCCGCCGGAGCCGCCGCCGAAGAACCCGTCGCCGCTCCTACCCACGCCTCACGCCCCTTGGTTCCGCTCGGTTCGTGCGAATGGGGGAGGAGGAGGGCTCGGTTTGGCCTAATAGGGAGAAATGGGAAAAGCCAAAAGACCCTTATGCCCTCACTTAAGTAATTCCGGCATTTTAAAAGCTTAGGGGTAGTTTGGGTATTACTTAACTTCCAACAATTATATCTCCTAATTTAAGCGAGATTACATATAAGTCCTTTATACCAAATCGATCGAAATTTCGCGCTCTATTTTATAAAATTATTTGCGTCGAAATCCGACAACTTCGAATTTTTCACTTAAAGTACGTCGCGGCGCTTTGAAAAGCGTGCGAAGTCTGAAATGGCTTTTTGCGGGTTTTACAGGTTTATTGGTTTTGTCTTTGACGATGATGTTGGAATTTTCTTCTCTTTTCTTCTTTGAATAGTTGTTTTGGCAACCAGGTGTTTCCTTGGATGGTAAAGTCTAGCAACCAAAGTTGGATTGTTTGTTGGGAATTTCCTTTACCGAGTCTTTTTATTGGATGGCTTGTTCTTGTTTTTCTTTTTGCTGGGGGCTTTTGTGTTTGGAGCTTCTGTTGGTTTGGCCCGGTGTTTAGCCTATTTCTGGTGTTTGTTGGGTGCTTTTTACATTTGTTTGTACTTTGAGATTCTTTTTAAGTAGGTTGTTGTTCATGGTGGTTTGCCGTGTTGATTGGAGGTTGGGCTGATATTTTGCTTGGACTTAGTTTGTTCTTTTAGCTAGGAGCTTATGTTGGTTTGGCCCAGTTTTTGGCTTGGTTATGGTGGTAGCAGGGTGTTGGCTTTTTAGTTTTGATTGTTCTTTGGTGATTTTTTTTTTGGGTGCTATTTTTCTGTTGATAATTTTTTTTTGGAGCAGGTGGTTGTTCATGGTGAGAGCCTAGTTAATTGGAGGTTGGCCTGGTGATTGCTTGGTGTTGGCTTATTCTTTTGTTAGCTGGGAGCGATTTTATTGGAAGAGCTATTCTTTGGGTATGGAGCAGCCATCCTGTTGGTGGATCTTTTGAGCTACGATTGGTTCTTGTTTGGTAGCTAAAAGATTTTTTTTTTACTATTTTTTATCCTTCTTTTGTATTTAAGATTGCCTTTTGAATCTTAATTTTTTTGGTTAATTTTTTTATCCTTTCTAAGGAGCTTTGTTTTAATTGGGTTTAGACTTTCTTTTAGTTTTCTTTTATCTCTTCCTTCTATAGTTTTGTAAGTTTTTCTTTATTTTTCCTTACAAAATTTTTGTATCTTTTTGTAACATTTTATTTTTGGAATGAAATTGGGCATATTTTGCCCCTACTTTTTCTTAAAAAAAATTAAACTTTTTCTTAAATAATAATTAATTTGTATTTTTATATATGTTAATAATTTTTAAAGTTCTAATAAAGTTTATTTTATTCAGGTATAATTAAATTAAAATTTTCTAAAATTATTTTTAAAAAAATCGTTTTAAAATAGAACTCCATTATTAATTTAAAAAAAAAAGCCCCCTACTGGGCTTCAGCTATCACTTGATCAGTTGATCTCTGCCCGCTCTTCCACTCCATCCGAAGTGCCCTTTCATGGCCTCCGGTAGCCGCCGCGGTCTCCTTCCGATACCGTCCTCCTCCGACCCCGCCGAAAACGCAGCCCAACCCGCAGGCTCAGCCGTCAGCAAAGCCATAGCTCAGTTCTCCGTCGACGCCCGCCTCCACGCCGCCTTCGAACAGTCCGCTGGCGGTGGAGCCCGCTTCTTGGAATATTCACAATCCATACTCACCCCTTCCTCCTCCTTCCTTGTCTCTCCCGAACACCACCACATCGCCGCCTATCTCTGCAAGATTCAACGCGGTGGCCATATCCAACCCTTCGGCTGCACCCTCGCTGTTGACGAGCCCTCCTTCCGAATCATCGCTTTCTCCGCCAACACTTCCGATCTCCTCGACCTCAACCACCAATCCGTCCCCTCTCTCGACGATGATGGTGATAAGAAGCCCGAGCCCCTCGCCATCGGCACTGATGCCCGCTCCCTCTTCACTCCGCCTGGCTCAGTACTCCTTGAACGCGCTGCGAACGCCCGCGAGATAACTCTCTTGAACCCTCTCTGGGTCCATTCGAGGAAATCCGGTAAGCCCTTTTATGCCATTCTTCACCGCATAGACGTCGGTATTGTCATCGATCTGGAGCCTGCAAGGACGGAGGACCCCGCACTATCCGTCGCGGGTGCCGTTCAGTCCCAGAAGTTAGCCGTTCGCGCGATCTCCAGTCTCCAGGCACTCCCAGGCGGTGACATCAAGTTGCTTTGTGAAACAGTTGTTCGGCATGTCCAGGAGCTAACAGGCTACGATCGGGTGATGGTATATAAGTTTCACGTTGACGAGCATGGAGAGGTTTTAGCGGAGAGCAAGAGGGACGACCTCGAGCCCTACCTTGGCCTCCATTATCCCGCCACGGACATCCCTCAAGCCTCTCGGTTTCTGTTCAAACAGAATAGGGTTAGGATGATTGCCGATTGCCGTGCGAATCCCGTGAAGGTAATCCAAGATGAGCGCCTGCAGCAGCCTCTCTGTCTTGTGGGCTCGACCCTTAGAGCTCCCCATGGTTGTCATGCGCAGTACATGGCCAACATGGGATCGGTTGCTTCGCTTGCCATGGCTGTTATCATTAACAACAGCGGTGAGGAAGAAGTTTCCAAGAATTCAATGAAGTTATGGGGTCTTGTTGTTTGTCATCACACCTCTCCGCGGTGCATTCCATTTCCGCTTCGATATGCATGTGAGTTCTTGATGCAGGCTTTTGGTTTGCAATTGAATATGGAGCTACAGTTGGCTTCACAGATGTCAGAGAAGCACATTTTGAAAACTCAAACACTTTTGTGTGATATGTTACTTCGTGATTCTGCTGTTGGAATTGTAAATCAGAGCCCTAGTATAATGGATCTTGTTAAGTGTGATGGTGCTGCGCTGTATTATCAGGAAAAATACTATCCTCTTGGTGTCACTCCAACTGAAGCTCAGATCAAAGATATAATTGAATGGTTGCTCACGTTTCATGGGGATTCTACCGGATTGAGCACGGATAGCTTGGTTGATGCTGGGTTTCCTGGTGCTTCTTCCCTTGGGGATGTTGTTTGTGGAATGGCAGTTGCAGCTATCTCTTCAAAGGATTACTTGTTCTGGTTCCGATCACAGACGGCAAAGGAGGTCAAGTGGGGTGGTGCAAAGCATCACCCAGATGACAAAGATGATGGCACCAAAATGCATCCACGTTCTTCATTCAAAGCTTTCTTGGAGGTGGTCAAAAGCAGGAGCTTGCCATGGGAGAATGCAGAGATGGATGCAATATACTCATTGCAGCTTATACTAAGAGATTCTTTCAAGGACACTGATAGAACGAGTGATTCGAAGGCAATGATAAGTGGGCAGTTGGGTGACATGGATGTACAAGGGATCAATGAGCTCAGCTCTGTTGCAAGGGAGATGGTGCGGTTAATAGAGACTGCAACTGTACCGATCTTTGCAGTTGATGCAGATGGCTTAATAAATGGTTGGAATGCTAAGGTTGCTGAACTAATCGGTCTTTCTGTTGAGGAAGCCATGGGAAAATCACTGGTAAAAGATCTTGTATTTGAGGATTCTGCTGCAAAAGTTGAGAAATTTCTTTTCCGCGCCTTAAGAGGTAGACATGGCTGTGATTTCATTTCTGGGATGCTGCTCTAAACACCTGTAAACATGCAAGTGTTTTAAGCCTTTCAATTTATATAGGCACGGAATTGGCATTGCTGATATATTGCCTCAATTGTTTCATCTAAATTTATGCAGGTGAGGAAGACAAAAATGTGGAGATAAAGTTACGAACATTTGGCTCACAGCAACAGAAGAAAGCATTATATGTCATGGTAAATGCTTGTTCTAGCAGGGATTACACTAACGAAATAGTTGGAGTCTGTTTTGTTGGCCAGGATATTACTGGGCAGAAGGCAGTTATGGATAAGTTTACTCACATTCAAGGTGATTATAAAGCCATTGTGCACAGTCTCAACCCTCTGATTCCTCCCATATTTGCCTCAGATGAAAACACTTGTTGCTCAGAATGGAATGTTGCTATGGAGAGGCTTACAGGATGGTTGAGAAGAGATATGATTGGAAAACTACTTGTTGGAGAAGTTTTTGGCAGTTGCTGCCGACTAAAGGGCCCAGATGCCCTTACAAAGTTCATGATTGTCCTCCATAATGCAGTTGAAGGGAAGGAAACTGAGAAATCCCCGGTTGTATTTTTTGATCGAAATGGAAAATATATTCAGGCACTCTTGACTGCAAATCCAAGAAGAGATATGGAAGGCAAAGTTACTGGAGCTTTTTGCTTCTTTCAGATAGCAAGTCCAGAGCTGCAACAAGCTCTTGAAGTTCAGAGGCAGCAGGAAAAGAGATGCTTTGCCAAAATGAGAGAGCTGGCTTACATTTGTCAAGAGATAAGAAATCCCCTGAGTGGGATTCAATTCACAAACTCTCTTTTGCTGATGACAGAGTTATCTGATGACCAGAAGCAATTTATCGAAACTAGTAATTCTTGCACAAGGCAGATGAGGAAAGTTCTAAATTATGTTGGTCTGGAGAGTATCGAGAATGGGTATGCCCATCCACTTTTAGTCATACTTTGAATTAAGCTCTGTCTATTTTTTTATTTTTTATTTCTTCCATATCCTTATATGAAGACGCCTGCATTGTTCGGTTGTTTTGTACATAATTTGGATAGGTTGTACGGTATTGAAGAACCATATTTCAAATCTGAAATCTATATATACATTTACCCTTGATTCAAAATTTTTTTTCCTTGATAGACTTTAATATATAAGAATGTTGGCCATTAAAAGAGAATCATAAAATAAAGTTAAGTATTGCAAAAATGAGGATGCCCAGGTGGATGAGTGGCTTTACACTGATATATTAAATTTGGCCTATGTACAATATCGTAGAGGTAGACTTTAAAAAAAATTGGTTAGAAAGTATTATAATTTACTTTTTGTGGTAGATTTCAATAAGAATTTGACTCCTATTAGGACACAATGGAGAAAAAAGATTCATGTAGCAAACCCCATGTAGTGGGATAAAGGCTTGATGTTGTTGTTGTTATATTGATATGCCAGGAGGGCCCAGAGGAAGCTATTTAAAAGGTTTTTAATCAAGGGGAGTTGTTTAGGACGGTTCCTAATTAAGGGGGATTTGTTTAGGAAGGTTTCCTAATTATATTTATATTGTTTATGAAGGTTTCCTAATTAATGTTTATATTGTTTATGAAAGTTTTCTATATTTAATTATTTAGGAAGGTTTCTTAAATTATATTTAATTTGTTTAGAAATGTTTCTTAAATTATGTTTAATTATTTAGGAAGGTTTCCTAAATTATGTTGAATTTGTTTAGGAAGGTTTTCTAAATCATGTTTAATTTGTTTAGGAGGTTTCCTAAATCTTGTTTATTTGTTTAAGTACTTAAGGAATGTTTCCTTAATTATGTTTAATTATTTAGGAAGGTTTTCTAAATTATATTTAAATTGTTTAGGAAAATTCTATTTATATTATTGTGTTCTTGGGTTATTTAAGGAGGAGCTTTCTATGGTTTTAGGAGCATGTTATTGATGAGTTTTGTGAATGTTTGGTGCCACTATTTTTGTGAGGGATTCTACTGGCGTCTAGAATTTGAGAGAAGGCCCTCCTCTCGAAAGAGGACCGTTTTATCTTGTTTGTTTGTATTTCTTTTCCTATTAATAAAAAATCTATTGGTTTGCTGAAATTTATTGTTTGTTCACTGATATTTTATGTTCAAGTCGTATCAAATTAGTGTTAGAGCGGTGTCCTAGATTGAAATATCATATTTCCTCGCTGATTTCTGCTGACTTTTTCCTCTCCTTTTGCCGAGTTTTGATTTTTGGAGGCCAGATTAATATTAAAGTTGCTGATTTTTGCTATTAAAGCCTTGATCCGAGTACCGATGGCCAGAAGAAGAATTGAGACGTTGGAAAACAGGTTGGAAGTGGAAGTAGGAAAACTACAAGTGAATGCGGGATTGATGAATGAACTTATTGCAACGATGAAAGGAAGGTTTGAGAATTTGGAAGATATGATGAAGAAAATAATTAAGATGCAGTTGAAAGCTTCACTGGCGATTCTTAGGGTTGAACCAAAGGGGAAGGAAATTCCGAAGGAGATGATGAGATAGCTCATGGAGATGCAATCCAAAACCCCATCAACAATTCCAATTGCTTACCCTTATTAAGATTTGATCGGGATTCCCTTGGCCGAACCTAAAGGGAAAGAGATCAGACGGGAATAGTTTGGTGAAATGAGCTCCTTTCATCAAGGGCCACCTTCTAGGGCTCCAAGAAGGGGGGAAGTATGGTTTTTAGTGGGGGGACAGTAGGAAGGGAGTTTTATTGTAGAGGTGGTGGAGTGGTCGACCATTATGAGAGGCTTTTTGGGCAGGTAGAGTGGACGATCAGAGGAGGATGATGGGCCGATCCATGTGGACTTGGTCATGTGAGGCCGATGGAAGAAAAGTGGGAGTTTCATCCTCGATACATGGGGGAAACATGGAGGGATCACAGCGATCGCTGCACTGGAGGAGGAAGAAGCTGCTGGGGCAGTGGTGATCCTAAGGTGAAGTTGAAGATGCAAATAATTGAAGAGAAGAAGAATGAAAGTTCATTAAGTGATGCACAAGCTTCTTTCATGGATAAACTGATCGACAAAGAGAAAAATGTGACTGAAGATGGTAAAGAAATAAACTTGAAAAGCCAAGATGATGGTATTGATCAGGAAATCTACTGCATCACATTACTTGGAGCAACAAAGATTAGTGAAGGTGAGCCAGAAAATCAAAACCATGTAGTTGTCTTTACCATAGAGGAGACTCTTAAGGCAATTGATACGGTACATGATAACTATTTGGAAGAGGCTTTGAAAATGAGGAATCTTTTGAAAGAATTCAATGAAGACCATGGATTGCGCCAACCAACCTTTTTTGGTGTACGTGAGTACATTTTTACAGGAAGTATTTCATCTTTGGGATGGTTCATGTCAACCAAGAAATAAGTTTTGAGACAATTAGACAAAGGGTTCTGGCTACTCCACTGAAGGCCCGCTTCCAATATGGGCATCCAAATATATATGATAGGAATTTTCACATCATTAGCAAGGATTCTCGTGGAATCAACCTAAGTGAGGATATCTTTGCATGATTCAATTCGACATTGAGGCAAGGAAGTATCACTCACCATGAGTATATTCCTGTTGGGAAGGGTTGTGAAGTTGGACTCAACCAAATTTTCCTGTTTGAAGTAAATGTTGCCTGTAGCAATGGAATAACAAATAATTAGCAGAGATATCTATTTCTTGGGCCACCAGTTTGACTTGTTCCACATGTTTTCTTACTACTTCACGACTGTAGGGTTATATGTCAGCTCAATGATGGTTGTTATCATAGTTCACTTTTTCCTCTATGGCAAGCCTTGCCCGTCATTAAGTGGGCTTGAGGCTGCCATAATGAAGTAGGTACTGATGAGAGGAAATAATCATCTGAAGGCTGCTATGACATCTTAATATATCGTCCAACTTGGTCTATTGATGGCCTTACCCATGGTCATGGAGATTGGGCTGAAAAGGGGATTCAGAACTGCATTGGATGATATAATCATCATGCAACTTCAATTGTGCTTAGTGTTCTTTACATTCTTGCTTGGAGCAAAATCCTATTACTTTGGATTTACATTCCTACACGGCGGAGCAAAATATAGAGCTACTGGACGAGGATTCGTTGACGAGAACTCATTGAGCGACATGAAAAGTTTGTAGAGAACTACTTGATGTTCTCTAGAAGTCATTTTACAAAGGGTCTAGAACTTATGTTACCGCTGATTGTTTATAAGATCTACAGATCTACAACTACTGATTCAACAACCTTTATGCTTCTCATTGCATGCATGTGGTTCCTTGTTGCCACCTGATTTTTTGCGCCAAATTTTTTTTTTTTTGGCTTTGAGTGGAAAACAATAGTTGATGATTGGGATGACTGGAGCAAGTGGATAAAAAGTGAAGGCATTGACAAAGATGTTAAAATATTGAAAGATGATATATTCTCTAGAGTGAAGCATGAGTAGATAATGAATGATATAGAACTGGATCATGTGCTAAGTGGTTTTTGATAGGAAGCAAATTTTGTTTTTTAAAACAGATGATTAGGAGACAATTCCCATCCTTACCTCTTGAGGACAACGTGGTTCTTTGGGAGGGGAGTACTGATATGCCAGGAGGGCCTAGGGGAAGATATTTACTAGGTTCTTAATCAAGGGGAGTTATTTAGGAAGGTTCCTAATTAAGGATGAACTATTTATGAATGTTTCCTAATTATGTTTATATTATTTATGAATGTTTCTAAAATTATGTTTAATTGTAAGGTTTCCTAAATTATATTTAATTTATTTAGAAAAGTTTTCTAAATTATGTTTAATTGTTTACTAAGGTTTCCTAAATTATGTTGAATTTATTAGGAATGTTTCCTAAATTATGTTTAATTTGTTTATGAAAGTTTTCTAAATCATGTTTAATTGTTTAGGATTCCTAAGTTATGTTTAATTGTTTAGGAAGCTTTTCTAAATTATATTTAAATTATTTAAGAATGTTCTATGTATGTTATTGTGTTCTAGGGCTATTTAAGGGGAAGTTGTCTAGAATTTTAGGAGCATGTTGTTGATGAGTTTTGTGAGTGGTTGTTGTCCATTATTTTTGTGAGGGATTCTAGCGGTGTCTAGAATTTCAGAGAGAAGGTTCTCATCTCGAAAGATGACCATTGTATCTTGCTTGTTCGTATTTCTTTTCCTATTAATAAAAAATATGTTGGTTTGCCGAAATTTACTGTTTGTTCGCTGATTTTTGATGTTCAAGTCGTATCATATACTTTCATATAGAACCTGGATAGAGAATTGTAAACAGGATAAAGAGTGTCTCTCCAATTAAGTTTGATTTTCTAAATAATCAGGATAAGACTAGTCCACGTGCTGTCTAACACGTAGAAGTGGACCTTTGGTAGTAATTTTTCTTCAAAGGCCCTATATCCAACAAGTACGCCAATTGTATGTGATTTTATGAAGTATAGATGGGATTAGAAAATGAATGCATCGTGAAGTATTACAGGCCTGAGGCGTCCTAAGACATTCACTGTGAGAAGTTAAGATTCTTGGCATGTGTATCGTCACTATATTTTGTTAGTCCATTCGCGATCGACTTATATCTATCACTTGTATGGTTTTCTATAGGGGTGTCAATTTGGGTCGATGGGTCGGGTTCGGGTCGAACCCGAGTTGACCCGGATCTAAACGGGTCAACCCGAACCCGACCCATTTTTGCAAACGGGTCGAACATTTCAACCCGGACGCGACCTGCTCAGGTTGCCGGGTTGACCCGACCCGACCTGGATTTGGCTGAACCGCTGAAGCAGCGCGAGTTCGCGGGACCGCGAGTGTGGCTGTGCGGGATTGCGAGCGCGCCTGCGAGCGGCAGCGGCGGAGTCCAAGTCGCGACTCGCGAGAGTGCCTGCGGAGCGGAGCTGGTGCGGGATGAACACGGGATCCGCCGAGGTGCTGAGTGCGGGCTGGTCGCCTGGTTTGGCTGGACGCGGGATCTGCCGAGGCGCCGAGTGCGGGCTGATCCGGCTTGACGCGGGATCCGCTGCTCCGCGGCTGTGCGGGCTCGCCAGGCTGGACGCGCGCGACTAAGTGACCTGACGCTGACACGACTTCACCACATGACGCAAACGTGACCTGACGAGCTGCCGGGACGCGACTTGAGCAGCGGGATTGCGAAACGGGTCAATTCGAGTTTACCCGCGGGTTGTCGGGTCAACCCGAACCCGACCCGTTTTTCAAACGGATCAAAAATCCGAACCCGGACCCTACCCGTTTTGCAAACGGGTTGACCGAAACCCGGATTTGTTCGGGTCGGGTTTCGGGTCGGGTCAAAAGTTGACACCCCTAGTTTTCTAGTATCGTTGAGATAATCAATTGGATGACTGGTGAATCCCACTTTCAAGTACTTTTCCTTATTCAAGATGGTAGCAGATATGGATGAAAGCAGATAGATTTACTAATAACATGATAACTTTGTAGTGGACGACATCCAAAAATTTCTTTCAGGGTTACTGTGTTTAATATGCTAATTTAAATAAACACTAGCGTGCACTTTTTCATAACTTGATTTCTATTATGGTGTCTTTAATGGGGCACATTTAGAGGATGCTCTAGGAAACAATGACAACTTGGACAGTTTTCATTGTTGATCCAGTTTTCTTACGAAACTTCTTTGGAAAAAATGGTGATTACATATAATAGCCATGTTCATGAGTGCTCTGACTGTTCTAATAATATCTAGCAAATACATCTAATATGTGGGTGATGAAAGCAAAAGCTTCAATAGTTAACTTTTCATTTTATCGAAGGTGGCACAAAAACCCATCTGAAGCTGAAATTAAACTATTTTCCATTATGCTTGAACCCATTTTGATGGAAACTCAATAGAGAGTGAGGTGGTGCTTGATGTTGGTGTGCAAGCTAATTTTATGCTTAAATGATTGCATTGGATTTCTGAAAATTGCCAACACTTTTACCTTAATAAGTGTTATCCATCATGAGAGCTACCTTTCGTTGCATGAATGATAGTTAGATTCATTTTTAGTTTTTGGTGCAACACCAACGCATGCACTCATGCTAGTGATCAAATCACAAAAAAAGCACTGCATCATGATTAAATATCATCACATCAACTTTCAGAATTTTCAATACGAGGTGCTTCAACAAGCATTGGCCCATAGTTTCATTATTGAATTCCAGCATGTGCCGTAAATCAGGTCCCCTTTCCAAAAGAGAGAAAAACAAGCCAATTTTCGCTCTGAATGTTCATGGCCAATCACTTAAAACTAGCTAGCAAGGAGACTAGCTGAAAACACTCCTTTCTTATAATTGGCATACTTGGCCCTTCCATGCGTTATTCTATGTATTTTATTTTATTTGTTTCTTCTTTATAAAGAACATGTATTCTCTCTTTTGGAGAATAGCATATAATATTGAAGTTTGTTTGCTTGGTTACAAAATTTCATGAATACTTGGTGGGCAGATCCTTGGAGAACTTTGTTGAGTTCTCTAGCTTCCTTATTTACATTCTTACAATCTATCCTATCTCTATTTCTTAGCCAACTCGCAAACCTAAACCTGATTGCCCCCCTCTCTTCTTCTACGATCTACAACAACCCTAAATACCTCCATAGTCACTGACCTCCTTCAACATCAAACCCTAATCCTATTGCTTGTAGATTTTGACCTTTTTAGCAAATCCTAAATAATTACCACTCCACATCTACTACCTTTATCACTAAACCCTATCACCTTCTTACCCCCTTTTAGCCATCACTAAACCATATCACCTTCTTAATCCCTCACCGCCAAGGCAATTAAGCACTATACACGAGCCTTTCTCCCTCTTGTAAGCCTCACAAAATAACTTCTCCTCAAGCTATTGCTCTCAGTTTCTGCCCATCTGTCCATGTGCTTTGATTTTATGATCTCTATCTAATCTCCAACCACAACAATGCTTCCCACAATCCCTCCTTACATTTAAAATAAGATCGTGCTTTCTTACATAAAGATCCTTCTTCCACCACCTCATCTGTTCTTCTCCTTGATGCATTCTTTTGATGCTTTTGAAGTCCTCTCCTTGTTGTAAAATGCTAATGCAAATTTTATGCTAGACAAACAAAAATTCTAAAGGGCTTAAGTTTGTTTTCATGATTTTTATGTTGACTGATGTACATCTACTAATTTTTATGTACCTCTTTCTTTTTAATTTCAGTTCATTGGAGCTTGAAAAATGTGAATTTATACTTGGAAGTGTTATAAATGCTGTGGTGAGTCAAGTGATGATTCTATTGAGAGAACGAGACTTGCAATTGATTCGAGATATTCCTGAAGAGGTAAAAATAATTTCTGTTCATGGTGATGAACTTCGAATTCAACAAGTCTTGGCTGATTTCCTTTTGAGTATGGTGTGTTGTGCACCATCACCTGAAGGATGGGTGGAAATCCAGATTAAACTAAGCCTAAAACAGAATTCTGATGGAAGTGATGCAGTACTTTTACAATTCAGGTTTGTGGCTTGACTTCAATTTTCTTCAAATGCAAGTTATCATAGATGTTCTGTTGTATGTTCGAAGGTTAGTAATAGGTTTTGTTTGGTAGTGCTTCATCTTGGTTTTCAAAAATACATTTTTTTTTCTTTTGAAATGAACTTTGGAAATCAACATGTAACAAGTGCACTCTCATACCACTTCATGAGAACATTTGATGCAGAACTACGTATGAATGCAGTCAATTCATTAGGAATTTTCACAACTCTTGATTAGAATAAAATGAAGAAACTAGTAGTAGCTCAAACAACGAAATAAAACGAATAAGTGGTCACACCCGCTTAGGCCAAATCACATAACCAGAAATTTGAGGCTTTCAAAATAAAACAGAAAACAACATTATGCCAAATAATAGTTTCAAATAAAATCCCTAATCTAACAACGAGAGTTAATAAGCACAGAGGCACGCTCAAGACCCTACGTTTACTAAGCTTAGCATGAGCAAGGAGAATCGTCCTTCGTGACTACAATCAAGCACAAGATAAAGTTAGATTTAAGAAATATATTGAAAGGGGAAAAGAGAACATTTGTCACGGTTTGGAGGAGATCCTCCACTTGATGCCTTCAAACTGTTCTTCGATTGCTTCCACCAACGTATCCAGAATACGCTCAATATAATCTTCGACAGTGTGATCGATCCTTCTATTAACGTCAAAGAAGGTTGATTGAAGAATGTCGACGAAACCGTCCTCGTCGTAGGTTAGGCCGTAGTCAGTCTCTGGATCCACCATTCATAGATGCTAGTTAGAAAATCCTCCAAGGATTATTAGCACCCTTGATTAATAGGGAGAGAAAGAAGTTTCTCTCCAATAGAAAATCGGGAAGAGGCTAAGCACAAGTTCCTTTCCCAAAATCTGAAATTAAATTTCAGATTTTAGAAAATCAAGGATGAGAATTCTAGGGGGAGAATCCAATCCTTAAATTCCGGTGGGGAATTAAGTGGAGAGAGAGGGGCGACTATGGAGAGACAGGGCTTCAATTTGATTCCAAGATTGGAGAGCCTTCTTTGGAAATCAAGCTAAATAAAGGTTTAGTAAATTTCTGCTAGGGAGGATGTGGAGGTGATTTAAATTTATTTCCAAGAGGAGTTAGAGGAGGTTTATGAAATAAGTTCCCAAAATTCCCATATAGGGGCCGGCGGCATGATGGAGTAAAGGGGCAATTAATGAGTGCAATTAAGGTTTCTTAATTTAGGTTTTGGACTTAAGAAATATTTATTTTAAATCCAATTGAATTTAAATTTCAAATTAGATCCTAAATAAATACTTTCCTAAAATAGACGAGTTATATTAGGAAGGATTTTGAATTCAAAATTCAATTGAGTTGAAATTCAAATTATCCTAAATTAACTCACAACCCAATTAGGAAACTCAAGAGTGAAAGGGGGCATGGGTAAGGCCGGCGGCTAGGGACCTAGGGCCGGCGGTATGGAGAGAGAGGGGGGGGGGGGGGGGGGCGAATTTCGGGTAGGGGCCATTGGCTTAGGGAAGGGGGAAATCCATGGAGCTAGGTTAGGAGGAGATGATGATTTGGAGTTGGAAGAGGTTTGGATGCAAGGTCGATCGATAGTAGAGGTGGAAGGAAAACAACAAAGGATAAAGAAGAAAACCACGAACCCGGCCATCTCCAAGGTTGGTGGGTGATCCGCTCTCCCTCTCCTAAGGATCTCTCCAAAGTTCTCTCCAAGAACTCTCAAACGCTCTCAAAACACAAGTGTAAGAAAATTTCATAATAATCATTCATTACTCAAAAAAATAGAACAACAGGCTATAAATAGCCTAGTACAAGAGACTCAAGAAATAAAAGACTAAAATGCCCTCGGGGCTTACATACAACACCCCTTTACTAGAAGGGTACAACGGGAAATAAAGGACATAAAACAAAATACAACGACATGAAAATAAAAACAGTACATGATATAAATCAGAAATACAATGACTCGATCGTGGCCGTAGATCGGCAGCCACGTCTCTGATAAACCTTCTAAGATCTGATGTTCCCATCAACATTCTAATGAGAGCAAGCTGATTTTGTGTTTTTTACAACACAACAGGAGCACCATAACATTAAAATGGAATAGAAATATGAAACTATGCTTATGTTGAAGGCATAAAAGGTGATGATTTATGCGTTGTAACTGAGTATTTTATTTTTCATTAGTTTATTTCATGCCAAATATGTTTATAATGTTAGCTCGTATACTGTAGTATTTTGAGAAGTCCATTAGGTCTAACTCAACATTGCATGGTTTCAACTTATCCCATTGAATTCAATCAATACCTACTGAGTTCGTAATAACTTGACAATGCAAATTACTAATTACTACTCACCAATATTTCCTCAGTTTGTTGTTGCTAAGTGTTTCCAATTGTTGTTCCCTCTACTTTCCCTATTGCCTACCTGTTGTTGGTGCTGTTGTGCCTTTTCCTTGGGCTACTAGCACATTTTTTTTACTTCACATCTTTATTGCAGCTGCTGTTTGCAATTCCCGCTACTTGCTTACAATTCCATGCTATAGTTCCATAGGCACGTTGCCTTTATGTTCCTTTGTTGCGCTACTTCTTTGTTTGCCAGGTCATTTGGCAAAACATGAATTGAATTTTTTCTATGGATGGATTTATGCCACTTAAATTTAAGAGGGTTAATTGAGACTTATTATTTTAAGTAGATCTTGGCATATTTGTGTTGTTTTTTTATTTTATTTTGGATCAGTTGTAGGTTCTAAATAGAACTCTTAAGGCATGTAAATTTTATTTAATATGAAATAATGAAAGAAAATTGTTGATTTCTTCTCTCGTATACATTTGCTTCTTGAATTTGTACTTTTCAAGTGTTTCACAAGTATGAATGACAATTTCTGAGGGTAGACTCTTTATGCTAACTTATGGTATGATCTTTTTAGGGTGATTTCTATCCTTGTTCTCGTCTTTTTATTGTTTAGTCTCTGGTTTTGCATTTGTAATTGAAACATTGTAAAGTAAGGTATGTGTTGGGTTCTCTTTTTGAGACTTGAACTTGCTTCATTTTTGAAAATTTCATGTTTTTGCTATTTTCTTTTGAAATTTCAGTTTTGTGTGGATTATTAATTTATCTTTTGGAATAAAAAAAATGCATGAATGTTGTCCTTCCATTAAAGGCAACAAATTTTTTGCTAAAATGATGAATTGGTAATCTCTTGATTGCGATTTTTTCTCATGTTTTCATCTTGTATCTTTCATCAAATTTTTACTAATTATCTTTCATCATATAGTAACACAACCTAGGCTAGTGTGAACATGTCATTTGAAAGTGGGATGAATTATCATGGTTGGTTGACCGATCACCAAAATTATGATTTTATAACTATTTTACAAAATCAATTAAAAGATTTATTAACAAAACTAGATCAAATAAGCACATCCAACAAAAAAACTGAGTGATTTGAGGTGCTGGAAAGTGGAAACTAATCATCTACACCCACAAAATCAAATAATAGATCTTTCCTAAATATGACTCATTCAGGAAATGTTAAACTCACTATGAGAGACATAGTAAAGATAAGCATAATCAGGAATATACCAACAACAACAACATCAAGCCTTTGTCCCACTACGTAGGGTCAGCTACATGAATCATTTTTCTCTATTGTGTCATGTTAAAAGTTAATTTCTTGTTTAAATCTAATAAAGAAAGATCATTTCTAATATTTTTTAACCAAACCTTTTTAGGTTTACCTCTACCTTTCTTAATATAGGTCAAATCTAATACCTCTAGGTCCTCTACTTTCCTAACTGGGTTATCAGAATGCCGCCGTTTTATGTGACCAAACCATCTAAGACGACTCTCTCTAATCTTATCTTTCACTGGATCTACTCCAACCTTTTCACGTATATGCTCAATTCGTATCCTATCTCTAAGGGTAAAGCCACTCATCCACCTGAGCATCCTCATCTCCGCAATACTTAGTATTATGCTTCTCTTTTAATGACCAATATTTGGCACCATAAAGCATTGCAGGCCTCACTATCATCTGATAGAATTTTCCCTTAAGTTTGAGGGGGACTTTTCTATCACACAACAAGCTCGATGCATTCCTCCACTTTAACCATCCAACTTGAATTCCGCTAATAATATCCACATATATTTCACCATCATTCTGAACAATAGGTCCAAGATATCTAAAACGTGTACTCTTATTAATGACTTGATCGCCCAAAGTCACAATCCCCTCATTATGTCTATTATTGCTAAAATTACACTCCATATATTCAGTTTTAGATCTACTCAAGCGAAAATCTTTAGACTCTAAGATTGACCTCTATAATTCAAGTTTACCTTCAACTCCCTCTCTAGTCTTATCAACAAGAAGAATATCATCAACAAAAGGCATACACCAAGGTACATCCTATTGCAAATGTCTAGTGAGAACATCCATGACTAAAGAAAGAATATATGGGCTTAAGGTTGATCCTTAATGTAATCCAACCGAAATAGGAAAATACTTGGTCAAACTACCTTGTGTTTGATCACAAGTAATAGCTCCTGCATACATATCTATCTGTAATGATTTGAATATAAGTGTTATTAACTCCTTTTTTCTATGAACTCTCCATAGCACTTCTCTTGGAACTTTATCATATGCTTTCTCTAAATCAATAACTATCATATGTAGATCATCCTTATTCTCTCTATTTTTCTCCATCAAACCTCTCAATAAATGTATGGCTTCCATAGTAGACCTACCCGACATGAATCCAAATTGATTTAAATTATTATATACTACAACAACAACATCAAGCCTTTGTTCCACTATATGGGGTCGGCTACATGAATCCTTTTTCACCATTGTGTTCGGTTAAAAGTCAAATTCTCATTTAAATCTAATAAAGAAAGATCATTTTTAATATTTTCTAACCAAGTCTTTTTAGGTCTACCTCTACCTTTCTTAACATAAGTCAAATCTAATACCTCAACTTTCCTA